TATCTATCTATCTATCTATCTATCTATCTATCTATCTATCTATCTATTTATCTATCAATCATCTGTCTATCTATCTATCATCTATCTATCTCTCAATCATCTATCTATCTCTCAATCATCTATCTATCATCTATCATCTATCTATCAATCATCTATCTATCATCTATCTATCTTTCTTTCTATCTATCTATCTATCTATCATCTATCTATCTATCTATCAATCATCTATCTATCATTTATCTATCTATCAATCATCTATATCTATCTATCTATCTATCTATCTATCTATCTATCTATCTATCTATCTATCTATCCATCAATCATGTATCTATCTATCTATCCATCATGTATCTATCTATCTATCTATCATCTATCTATCTATCTATCTATCTATCTATCTATCTATCTATCCATCCATCTATCTTTGTGCATGGATATGCCAGAGTGTGCATATGAGGGCAATATGACATCTAATGGGAGTCCCATCTACCACGTAGGTTCTGGGGATCAAATTCAGGGCAACAAGTTTGGTGACAGGCACTTTACCCATTGAGCCATTTCAGCTCGAGTGTCCACACTGCAACAGCCTGGAGTGTACACTGCTAACAGTTTGTTCTGAGTTAACCTTTGGCCTAGGTGGTACATTGAGAGGACTGTGAGGCTCAGCAGGCTTGAGAAATATGAATGCTGCTGCACAGGGAGAGAGGATAATGAGGGAAAAGTTCAGGAGGAGATAAGGAGAGATGGACAAATACCAGCATCTCAGAGAGGAGGCTGACCCCTGATCAGAGGGCAATGCTGGACTTCAGAATGATTGATACCTCTGTACTTACTACCTTTAACACATGCTGGCTAGAGATAGGAGGGGAGAAGGGGCACACACACACTTTTAACACTGCCTTCTAGATACAAGGTAGCTTCTCTCCCTGTTCACTAACAGCTGTAGTGACAGACAACATTCTGGGACCATACTGGTCTTTCCTTACCCATGGTCCTCCCGTGGAAAGCACCCATGAAGGAGAGGATGCTGTAATCTGGGCATCCAGGACTCTATAATGGAAAAAAGGGCAGGTATCAGTCACTATGATGAGCACAGGGGAGTGTGTGTGTGTGTGTGTGTGTATGTATTTGTGTGGTCTGTCTGTCTGTCTGGTGTATCTGTCTGTCTATCCATGGTGTGTGTGTGTGTACTTGTGTGGTCTGTCTGTCTGTCTGTCTGGTGTATCTGTCTGTCTATCTGTGGTATGTGTTTGTATTTGTGTGGTCTGTCTGTCTGTCTGTCTGTCTGTCTGTCTGTCTGTCTGGTGTATCTGTCTGTCTATCTGTGGTCTGTGTGTGTTCCCAGGACTGGACTCAGGCCATCAAGCTTGGAACTAAGCACCTTTGCTGAGCCACCGCTCCAACCCTGCACCTACCTGGTTAACCATGCAGGTTTCCAGCTCTTCTTTGGAGAAACCTCTCTGCCCGCGTTCCTTACTCTGCCAAAAGAGAACAGAGTAGATCAGAGACAGGCTGGGCTTATAGAGGTACCCCCCCCCAACCAAGGTGATGCTTAATCCAGACAAGTAGAGCATTTCTTTAGCGTTGACTTAGTTAGTGTCCTATGATGACGAGTCTAGGTAGACACACAACACTAACTGAGCTGGTGATGAAATAGACACAGTCGCTGCTCTGTGATATGTTAATATTTTATCAGCTGCAACCAGATCTGTCGAGATGGGACAGTTTATGGCATAAAAAACTGACACTATAACCCTCTGGCAGGAATGAAGAGATTTGGCTTTCATTCTATTGAAATAATCGACCCACAAGAAACTGAAATTTCCCCCAGGTTCTCAAATTGTGAAAAAAAAAAAAAGGGCTGAAGCCCAAGGGGCAGTTGGAAGGGGAGCATGTCTCCTTGAGACAGATTTACAAATCATCAGGACCTCACAGGAGAGACTGGAGCTGAGACGGCGGCAGGGTGGGACGGCACCCTGACCAGGACTGCCTGGGTATATAGCTCTCTGCTTTCTATTTAAACCAGTCTCACATCCGGACCTGGGAGACAGGCTGGCATGTGAAGAGACCTTTTTATTTGTCCCTCTTCCCAACGTGGCCACACTGAATAAATCCCCATGGTTTGTTTTCAACCATTAATTTAACTGAGGGTTAAGTCTGCCTTGTTAGGCTCCATCTGAGGAGCTCAGTAATATAACCACATTGATGGCAGAACTCAAGCCTTTTGCGCCATGCACACTGGGAGGATGGGAAAGCTCCAACCAGGCTCTCTCGAGATCATATACAGGTGGAACACTCTGGCTGGAGGGGGTGACAGTGTGGGTGCTCCTGACCCATAGCTCACCCGGTACCACATGAAGATGGTCTTGAACGCATTCTCATTGGAGCAAGAGCCACAGGCCATGGTGATGAGCTGAGACATGCCTTTGGGGGCCACCTGCAGAGGGAGTCCTACTGTGAGAAGTTTGGACACTTTCTATTCCTCGAGTGGAATCTTTCAGCATTAATGGGAGGGCTGAGGGAGGCAGGGAGGGAACCAGGAATGCACCAGAAACAGCAGGTTGGAAGAGTGGGCTCAGACTTTTCCAGGGTGGAGAAACCCAGCACTGAGGTCAGCAGAGAGGAAAGAAGGTGAGAGAAATGGCAGCAGAGCCCAGGCCAGTATGACGTTACACCTGTCCATCTCAGCACTGGCTGGGACTGCACGGCGAGACTGTCTCAAGTTTAAATAAAGGTGTGTGTGTGTATGTGTGTGTGTGTACACACACAGGTGCATGTGAAAATAGCAGTGCCCTCTGTGTCTCCTGAGGCACCTGAACTTCCAGGATTATAAGCTGAGGTCCTCAGTGACTTTAATCTTATGGCATGAGGAACTGAAGGGGAGTCCAAGGAGGACCAAACCCCTCATTCTCATCACATGCACATACACATTTCCCCAGGATGCCCTTTATCCTGTACACAAAACCCCTGCTTTTCTTCAAAAGACAAATTAAAAATCTTCTTGAGGGCTGGAGATGAGGCTCAGTTGGTACAACACTTGCCTAGCAGGTACACGGCCTGGGTTCAGATTCCCATACCTGTGCAAAATGGGTGTGGTGGCACACTCCTCTAATAAAAAGATCAGAAGTTCAAGACTATTCCCATAGTGAGTTTGGGGCTAGCCTGGGCTACATAGGCCATGCATTTGAGGCTATTCTGGCCCATATGAGACTCTGTTTATATACACACACAGACACACAGACACAGACACACACAGACACACACAGACACACAGACACACAGACACACACACACACACACACACACACACACATCATTTATGAAAGAACCAAGTAATACGTTGGTCATTTTGGCAAGGCTGTCTTATATCCTTCTTTCAAAATATTTTCCTTCTTTTTTCCCTCCCTCCCTCTCTCCTTCCCTCCCTCCCTCCGTTCCTTCCTTCTTTCTTCCTTTTAAGACAGGGCCTCATGTAGCCAGACAGCTACAGCAACAGCTGCCATCTGCCCCCCATCCTAACTGGGTCTCATCCTTTCCTGCCCACCTGTGCCACCTCTGAGGACAGACAGACAGACAGACAGACAGGCTGGAAGGTGGTGGCGCTGGGACTACAAACATGGGAGGGGCCATCTCCCAGACTCACCGACATCAAGGACTCACGGAGCTTGTCCACAAAGTTCTCTGGAGGCAGGATGCCCAGGGCAGGTCTGTTGATGAAAGTGCTCTGTAAAGAAGAACAGGCAGACATGTCACCTTTACATGGTTGAGACATCAAATAGGCTCTGCGATGCATTGTAGGCTCACTGGTGTTATTGTAGTGTTTTCACATAGCACAGTTGGCCTGCTGGGACTCAACAGTTTACCTTAATTAAAAGAAAAAGAAACCCAGGCAGTGGTGGCACATGCCTTTAATCCCAGCACTTGGGAGGCAGAGGCAGGCAGATTTCTGAGTTCGAGGTCAGCCTTGTCTACAGAGTGAGTTCCAGGACAGCCAGGGCTACACAGAGAAACCCTGTCTCAAAAAAAAAAAAAAAAAAAGAAAGAAAGAAAGAAAGAAAGAAAAGAAAAAGAAAAGGCAGGGGCTGGAGAGCTGACGTGGCAGGTAAAGCGTCATATAAATGGTGGCACCTGAGTTCAGAGCCACAGAACTCATGTAACGTGTGTGGTAGTGAGCGTCTATAACCCCAGTGATCCTATGTCAAAATGAGAGGCAGAGACAGGAGAATCCTTAGAAGCTCAGGCTAGCCAGCTTGGAGTGCACAGTGGGGAACAAGAGTCTATGTCACAAACAAGATGGAAGGCAGAGACTGACACAAAGTTAAAGTTATTAAGCATATATAACCACTTAAAATAAAGCCTCAATGATTTTATCTTCACAACAGAAAGAACGAGTTGTGCTTGTCTTTGCTCACAGAGGTTCTAGGAACACCCTAAGAGGTGGCAACTTCATATCCGTGACCTTCCTCCTTGTGTCATCCCACCAGGAGGAGATGATCTCAGACCGCACACCACAGAGAGACCAGGGCGGAAGCATGGTGCATCTGGTTAGCTACTCCCTGGTAGGTATTGGACAGGGCCTTTCCACAACTTTAAGATAACTTGTGACTAGTCAGATGAACAGCTAGGGCAGCGGATCTCAACCTATAGGTCGCATAAGACAACTGGAAAACACATATATTTACATTATGATTCATAACAGTAACAAAACTACAATTATGAAGTAGCAACAAAAATAACCTTATGGTTGGGGGTCACCACAGCATGAGGAACTGTATTAAAGGGTCACAGCGTTAGGAAAGTCGAGACCACCGAGCTAGAGTTTTGGGCTGTGGTGAGCAGCATACTGTGCAAAGCTAGTGAATTCAGAATAGTTCAAGCTTTCAAGAGAGGCGCTCTGGGCTTACAGAATGGGAAGCCAAGGATACAGCTGGAGATTGACCTGGAGCCCAAATCCCTTCCTTGTTCTGGTGCTGGAGTTGTCCCTCATGCTAATGACTAAACACAACCTTCGGTGGACTAAGAACAAGGCAGTCCTGGGGATTCACCCACACCAGCACCAGCAGAGATGGAGGAGGTCACGGGGAGGCTGCTGTAGGGGTGAGTGACATGGAAGTGGACCTAGACTATGAAAGGGATCACACCAAATGCAACTTGGCACCTTGGCTTGGATTCTAGGGCACACCACAAAAGGAAAGTACGGGGAAGACTGGCGAGTTCCAAGTGAAGCCCGGGGCTTGGCCCTGATCTGAGTCAACTCTCATCACTTGGGAAATGGCCTTAACTTCAGAAGCAGCTGGAGAAGGGAGACAGGAACTATCTTTGCAGTTTGTAAACCAAAAAGTATTCTTTTGCTAGGAATAGGAATATTTATTATAAAAAGTAGGGGATCTGGCAGGGTGTGGTGTAGCTTCCTACCAAGTTCAAGTTCAAGGCCAGCCTGGTGTACAGAGAGTTCTAGGCTGAGGATATCTCTCTGTGCTCACTTGCTATGCTGCCCTGGGTTCCATCCCCAGCACAGCAGAAACCTAGTGCCGTGGCTCATGCCAGCAACTGCAAGCACTTGGGAAGTGGAAGCAGGAAGCTCAGAAATTCAAGGCTATCTTTAGCTACATAGGGAGATCAAGGCCAGTCTAGATTACAGGCGACCCTTTCTCAAAAACAGACACATGAACCAAAGCAAACAAGTGAAGTCTCCCTGGAACACGGGCTTCTCTTGGACATGATAGGGTGAGAAGCTCAATGCAATCAGTGTCACTGCTACACTGTGGGAGACTCAGGGCATCCTAGCAGCCATTCTGGTGGCTTTGGACAGTAGAAAAGGGGGCAGATTCATAATTCTGTTGCTTTTCCTGCTTTGTGACTCCTCCTTGGTGTGTCTGGGAGACATGGAGAGGGCAGCAAGGATGACAAGTACGAACTTTAAACTTTCTTCACTGCTAAGGACCAGAGAGGTCAAGCAATTTGTCCCAAGACACACAGGTATGCCTCCAGTGTGGTTTGCTGGCTTCTGAGAGGATTCTGGGACAGGCACTCCAGGGACCTCAGCTCTGAAATGCTAATGCTGGGTGCACATTTGCTTGACACAGCTGAAGACCTTGCTCTGTAGGTGGGGGCCTTAGAAAGCACTTCCTTCTGGCTCTGACCTGCTCATGGGCCTGTGAGAAATCAGGAACACAATGAGACCAGGCTAGGAGCAAACTGCTGTCATGAGCTGAGGGGAAAAGGTCCCCAGAGAGAGACAGGCAGGCTGGCAGCTTGCTTGCCTATCTGGGCCCAGAAAAGATGTGGGGGCGATGTTCTTGCTCGACAGAGCGTGACATTAAGAACAGAAGATATCTGGGACATGTGGCCACAGACGCAAATGAGGGCAGGTTTGCAGAAGGTTTGCCAAGCACAGCAAAGGGAGAACTGTCCTTGGCTGTGTAGCCTTGGGCAGATCACTTAACATCTCTGAACTTTAGGGTCTTCATCTGTCAATGTGGGCACCTCTTGCCAGATACTGTTAGAGAGCCTTCAGGAGAGAAGGCAGAGATAGAGCATGCTCCTGAGGTGTGGTACACTAGCCTGGAAGTCTCGGATAGGTGAGTGTCTTACTTGGCCCACTGTGTGCTTCCATCCCAGGTGTAGGAAAGTCAGACCACAGCCCTTTCTCATGGCGGTGTGACCATGCACAGGCAAGGCCCAGAACACAGTGCACAGTGTCGGGGAAACATATTGAGATGGCCGGAGAGTCATTAGAACTGGAACCCAGAGAGATCCATGAGACAGTATCTATTTCTGCACTGACATGAAGTCACCAGGCTGTGACTCAGATGTGGCCCAATTGGGTTGATAAGAAGCCAGGAGTGGGCTGGGGCAGATGGTGGGTAAGGCTCTTGTTGGGTAAGCATGAGGTCCAGAACCCAAGCAAACGCTTGGTGGGCTTTTAGCCCACCTGCAATTCCAGCCTTGAAAGACTGGATGGAGGATGGGGATAGCAAGCTGGCTAGGAAGACTTGTTATGTCTCCCAGTGGGGAGGTAAGGTGAGGACCAGTCCTTGCCTGGGTGAGATGAGATGGGTATGTGGGGAGACAGGCAAGGTTCCTCTAAGAACAGGGAGATGTTGTTGCAGGAATCAGAATCCTCAGGCCTTGACGTCATGTGTTGTTGGGAAGACTGCCTCCGCAGGCAGCTGACACTGCAAATATGTGTGACATGTTTGTTGACACATTTGCTCAGCACCAGCTGCCAAGGCATCTGGGATCCGCACAAGTTTTGAAACAAAGCAGCTCTGAGCATAAACACATCCCCTGTGCCTCTGGCTTCACCGGTCACCTTCTCAGGATGCCCTTTGTACCTGCTCAACTAACTGGAGGCCAGACTGTCCTCTAGTCTCTCCTAGGCAGGCAGGCCCTCTCATGCATACTGATCATCATGGCTCTTTTAGGAGACCTTCAAGTCTGAGTTTTAAAGACTTTAACACACACACACACACACACACACACACACACACACACACACACATTTTGGGGTTGGGGGGAGAACAGGGTCTTTTGTAGCCCAGGCCAGCTTTGAGTTCAGTTCTTGACAAAGTCAGGGCTTTTTTTTTAGTCCCCTGATTTCTATTAAGGATCAAGTTTCCCATCATGCCGGGCAGTGGTGGTGCACGCCTTTAATCCCAGCACTTGGCAGGCAGAGGCAGGCGGATTTCTGAGTTCAAGGCCAGCCTGGTCTACAGAGTGAGTTCCAGGTCAGCCAGGGCTATACAGAGAGACCATGTCTCAAAAAACAAACAACAAAAAAAAGTTTCCCATCATGAGTGGACAAGCTGTCCTCTGAGTCACACAGAAACTCACACACACTAAGTGTCAGATAAGACATGAAGAGACGGAGACCCCACCCCAATGTTAGTGGGAAAGGAAACCAGGTCAGTAAGTTGGCCGACTGGCAGGATCTGCAGAAACAGAACATGGACACCCGCCATGGTCACAGTTCTGCTGCTGGCTCCATATCCAGTAGAAACACAGGTGGAGCCCCCAGCGGAAATGGGCTCCATTGTCTACAGCAGCCATCTTCCTGAGAGTCCCAAAGTGGAACTATCCTCAGGAGGGAGACAAGCTGGTTGCTGCATATTCCCACAGGCAATGCCATAAAGGCACCGGAAGGGACAGTCTCCTACCCACAAGAGGATGATGAGGATGAAAGGCCACGTGAGTTTTTGAGAAAAGTAATCAGACATGATAAAGAGTACACTTGGGATGAATGCATTCATGGGACAGGGGAGAGGGGTGACCCGGGTGTTTTTAGGAGAAAGGGGCAGGGTCTGTCTCATTTGGATGGGGAAATCAAAGCCCCTATGACATCATACAGCTGAGGATGACCTCTTCTGATCTCTGTTACTATTCGTACTTTCTCAGCACTGCCTCTTCAGCATATCTACACTGCAAGAGCAACCACAGGATGCTAGGTCCCAGGTCTGTCTGTCACCCCCAGGACAATGTCTATGTCACCAAGAAGCTGTCACAAAGGCTCCTAATGGGCTCACTTGGGAGATGGTTCTCTATTTCTTTTGGGCCCACTGTGACCACATGAGCAGAAGCAGAAGAAGACTTCTATTGCCAGTGGTGACGTAGGCTTCAAAGAGACCAAGAAGAAAGGAATCTGCCAACAGGCTGATACTCCAAGAGCCTCCAGCTGGCAGCCTGGGAGGCGTACCCCTAGGAGCAGAGTCTACAGCTAGGCTCAACGGATCGGATCGTAGGCCTGAAGCAGAGCCCACCCACAGGCATTGCCTAAATTTATTGTTGTCTCATGTAGTCTAGGCTGGCTTCAAACTTGGTATGTAGCTGAGGATGAACTCCTGATCCTCTCCTGTCTCAGCTTCCTTCCAGAGCGCTTGGATTACAGGCATGTGCCACTATGTATAACTCTTAGGTATTATTTTAATTAAATTTGTGACCATCTGTTAGTATAGAAATTGAAAATGAATATATAAGAGAGTCAAAATTGCACGGTGGTGGAACAAATAGGAAAGTAAAATGTCTATTATTATTATTAAATTTTTTAGATAGGATCTCATGTAACCCATTCTGGTCTCAAATTCATTATATACCTGAGGGTACCCTTGAACTTCTGCTCTTCCCACCTCTGTTCTCGAGAACTGGGATGACTGATATCCACCGCCATCGCTGGTTTCACTAAGCGGTGTGGATAGAACTCAGGGCTTCCTGCATAGTGGGCAGTTTGACAAGTGAGTGACATCCTGGTCTCAGGAAAATGACATCTAAAAAGGATGCTTAAAAGGACAACTGTGGGAAGCAATAGGTTTCATGGACAGATTCATGGAGGGACACTCAGGTTAGGCACAGGTCTTCTTATGGTGTCCCACCGTGTTCAGGATAGCTCTTCCGTCATGGGGCTTCTCCACCAAGGTTACTATAGCCACCAGAGAAAATCTAGGCACTTCTAAGACATTTCCTTTTTTGGCATGACAAGAGGCCCCATACCATGGAGTGATCTGGCTGTAAACACCAACAGTACCAAGAGTGAGAAAACCTACTGGAGGCTGAACTTGTTGGTTTCTGTCAGCGTGACACAAACCTGTACTTATTTGGGAAGAGGGAATGTCATCTAAGGCCTCGCCTCTGTCAGGCTGGCCAGTGGGCATGTGCGGGACATCTTCCTGATTAAAGGTTGATGTGAGAAGGGGTGGTGCCATCCCTGCAGAGAGTGTTCTGGGTTGAGCGAGCTATGAGGAGCAAGCTAACAAGCAGTACCCTTCACTGCCTCTGTTTCAGCTCCTGCCTCCACGTTCCTGACTTCTGTTAGCAATGGACCTTAACTGTAAGCTAAATAAACACTTTCTTCTTCCAAGACTAACTGGTTAGTCTTTGTTCACTGTCTCAAGAGCCAACCAACGACGACAAAAGTGGTGGGAACTCTGGGGCTGCTCAGGTTGGACTGGAACCCCGCCCACGGCTAGCCCTGCTCGGGGGGCCATCCTGGCCAACCCCACCTGAGGCTGTCCCTGCTCGGGGACCATCCTGGCCTTTATTCCTTAAGCATCCCTCACTTTCTCTGGCCTGCCACCTCACAGCCTCTTCTCCTTCAGATCCCTGTTCAAAGTTACTTCCCTGGGAGGTTTTTCCTAACCTCTGCACCATCACAGATGAACTCGGTTCTTCGCCCACGTGACCTCACAGCACGGTGATTAGTATTGACTGTCGAGTGGGCAGGATCTAGAGTCACCTCTGAGAATGTCTGTGAGGAACTTTCTAGACTGCAGTGCCCTGGGAAGATCCACCCTAAGTGTGTGTCGTACCACCCCATGGGCTGGAGTTCTGGTCTGAATAAAATGGAGCAAGTGAGCTAAGCAGCAGCTTTCATTTTTCTGCTCTCCGAATGCAGGTGCACTGTGGGGAGCTGCTCTTACCCTCTCACCGTGGCTCCCCACATCATGATGGTGTACCCGAAATTATGAAACAACTAATACAAGCAGCTGTATAATCTTCCTGCTCTTCCGTTGCTTTGTCTATTAGAATCATGGGATGTTATAGTTATATGTGGTTATGGGGGGGTAGGCTCAACATGCAATATACACATGTATTAAAGTTTGATAGCAGTACATTTAAAAAGAAGGGCTACAGAGATGGCCCAGGGTTAAGAGTACTTGCTGCTCTTACAGAAGACCTGGGGTTGGGTCCCAGCATCCACATCAGGTTGCTCACAGCAGCCTGTAACTCCTGTTCCCTGGGAACTTGATGCCCTTTTCTGGCCTCTGAGAGTGGTGCATACGTACAGTGCACACTCTTACATGCAAATAAAAATCCAGAACACAAGCCTCGGCACATATTACATTGTTCATGTATGTTAACTGTTATCATTGTCATATGCCTACACTGTATCCTTTGTTCTGTAACCTAAATGTGGTTACATTCTTACCAAAGAATGGGGTTAAGTGACTGTCTCCATGGGAACGGCGATGCTGAGCTTTCCTCACGGTCATAGTTACGTTTTGTCACTGTGATAAATACCACAACCAAACAGCTTCAGGGAGAAAGGCTTGTTTGGCTTTCAGATCACACTCCATCACCGAGAGAAGCCAGGGCAGGAGCTTCAGGCAGGAACCTGGAGGCAGGAACTGAAGCCGAGGCCATGGAGGAGTGTGCCTCTCACTGGCGTGTTACCCATGGCTTGCTCAGATTTTTTTCCAAGAAAATTAATCTTATTTTATGGGTGTGCTTGAGTATGTGTACCACATGCTTACAGGAGACTGTGGAGGTCAGAAGTATTGGATCCCCTGGAACTGGAGTTACAGACTGTGGTGAGCCGCCATGTGGATGCTGGGAACCCAATCCAGCTCCTCCACAAGAGCAACAAATGCTCTTAACTATAGCCATCTCTCCAGCCCCTCAGTTTGCTTTCTTCTACAACCCAGGAATGCTGCCCAGGGCTGGTACTGCTCACAGTGCATGGGGCCTCCCACATCTATCACTAATCAAGGAAATGTTTCACAGACACACCCACAGAACAACTGATGGGAGGTGTTTCCTCCACAGAAGGTCTCCTTTCCCCAGGTGACTTAGTTTATGTCAAGTTGAGGAAAAGCCATCAACACTTCTCCAAGGCTTCTGAGTGCCTGAACGGGGTACAAGCTCAGCAAACATCTGAGTGCTGAGAAAGAAACACTCCTAAAGATGCCTATCCGGTCTGGCCATGAGCACAGTCTGCCCTTAGTAGGCGCATCAGCCCATCAGGGAGACATACCGCATTCTGAGGCTGTTGAACAAGCTTCGCCAGAGCTGGATGGTTGTAACCTGGGGAGAGGAAGGAACAGCAGGGTTAGAGAGTGCTCCTGCATCTGAGGTTTCCCTCTGTACTAGTTCTCTCCCCGCCCCCTGGCTTCTATCTCTGAAGTGTTCTGTATGTGCCAAAGGCTCTGACCCTTGACTAGAAGGCTTTCTCAGTGCAACCTGGAGAGCTCCAAGTTCTCTGGGACACTCAGGTGTTTGTTCATGTTTGAGACCTGCTGGACCAGACAAACATAAATGCAAGGACAATGCCAGCATCAAGAGGTCAATGGGGTGGATTGCGTGTGGTCTTGCTCATTTTCTAGTGTCCATAGGCTGAGGTGGAGCCCAATAAATGTTTCCTCAGGACCAAGGGATGCCACCTGCAAAGTGACTACCGTGCCACATCCTGCCTTCATATACACATGCATGTTCCAGGGTCTCATTGTGGCTGATGTCACACACCTCGGTTCAGAATACCCTGGGACTCAGCAACAGCTCTCCTATGAAGTTATCCTGTCTATAGAGCCTTAATGGCAACACTCAACATCCCTAGATTTGAAAGCATCTTGTGTCCATCAACTGAGATTGGAGGTACATGAACTCCTAGAAGTGTTACCATGCTGACGACAGACTCCAACTGCACTTGTGTGCTTGTAATGTATTATAAAAACAACTCTGTGTGTATATGGGGGTGTGGTGCCTGCTTTCAATTCTAACACTCAGAAGACAGAGGCAACTGAATCTCTGTTCGAGGCCAGCTGTGGTCTACAGAGAGAATTCCAGGATAGCCAGGGCTACACGCAGAGAAACCCTGTCTTGAAAAAAGAAATGAAAAAACAAAATGAAATAAACAAACCAAAATAAACAAAAAAGAAAAAATGAACAGTATTTCTGTTCACTTGCAACGAATGACCCAAAACTGATGTAAAAAGGTGTACTAACTGGCACTGGCACTCACACTTCCTCTCCAACAAGTGCACCCTGAACACTGGAGGCCTACTTCTCTGTGAATGAGTGAAAGCATGTAATATTGAGCTTGATCTGATACAGTAGCCTTAGAAAATGTTCACAGGCCGGGCGGTGGTGGCTCACGCCTTTAATCCCAGCACTTGGGAGGCAGAGGCAGGCAGATTTCTGAGTTCGAGGCTGGCCTGGTCTACAGACTGAGTTCCAGGACAGCCAGAGCTACACAGAGAAACCCTGTCTCAAAAAACAAAACAAAACAAAAAAAAGAAAAAGAAAAAGAAAACGAAAATGTTCACAGAAACGTGAGCTTTACCTATAAACTTTTAAATCACACACACACACACACACACACACGTTCAGTCCCTTGGATCCATATAGTAGAGAATTGACTGCCACAGTTGTCCTCTGATCTCCATAAGCACACCATGGTACATGTGTACATGAGGACATACACATAAAGTTGATGATACTTTTTAAAAAGCCACAGGGAGAGTAGTAAGAGGTTGAGGCAGCAGAATTATGATTTCGAGGCCAGCCTAGACTATGTAAAGAGTTCTAAAGTCAGCTTGAGGTACACAGCAAGACTCTGTAACAAACAAAACAAAAGGAATGATACTGTAATTCATTCCAATCCCTGTTTCCTGAGCATCAGCTCTGTGCCTGGCTCTGAGCTAACGCTTGATCCTGATAATCCTTCCTCACTTTGACAGAAGCCCTATGGGGTCAGGCATGGCCAGGCTGCTGATGCAGGAAAACAAGAGATGCGGCCGGGTGTGACGGTGCTCATCTGTAACCCAGCACTGTGGAAGTGGAGACAGGGGAATTGGGAAGTCAAGGCCAGTTTGTGCTACAGTGAATTTGAGGTCAGCCTGGGCTACATGAGATCCTCCCTACTCTCTACCGAGAGAGAGAGCGAGCGAGCGAGCGAGAGAGAGAGAGAGAGAGAGACTCTGAAAAATTACATGCAAAAATTGGATGAAAAAATTGTGCCAAGGCAGGCTTTGGATCCTGTAAGTCTACTTAGAACCACCCTACTATCTTTTATGACAATTTGTGTTTATTGAATATCTACTGTGTACAGGGGGCTTTCTATTCGTTATTGCTAGTCCTGTTGTCAAGGTTTATACTGACTGTCAACTTGCTAGTATTTAGAATCATCTGAGAACTAGCCTTTACATGTGCCTTGGCAGATTTTCTTGATTAGGTTAACTGAGGTAGGACGACTCATTCTGAAAGTGGGTGGTGTTATATTGAATTCTAGGCCAGCCAGGACTGAACAATGAGACCCTATCTCCACGATAGACAGATAGATAGATAGATGATAGAGAGATAAATTGATTGATAGATGGCAGACAGAATGAATGAGCTGAGCACCAAGGTTCATCACTTTATGCTTGGCTGTGGATACAGTGTGACTCGATATTTTACTGTCCCAACACCACTTTTTCCCTGACTTGATGGACTGTACTTTTAAACTGTGAGACAGAATAAACCTTTCCTCTCTTAAATTGCTTTTGTCAGGGTGTTTTAAGACAGCAACAGGGACAGTAATAGACCTGCCTGTCAGTAACTCTGGCAGAAAGGCCCAAGAAAGTCGTAGACACTGGTGTCTGGAGGATGTGCCCAGGCACTGGTGTCTGGAGACCATCGTGAGATGCCTCTGCCCACTCCACCCCACCAAGGCTAACTCTGCTCAATACGCTGTAATTGAATGAATGACTAGCACAGTAAGCCAGAGATGCAGGCACGAGCACAGAAGCGTACAAGCTGTATGAGGAAAGAGCAGTAAGAGGAGTATAGAGCAGGAAGGTTTTACTACACATAATTGCAGTTTATCTGCTGAGATCCTGGGGCCTGAGGTGATAGTATTCAGGGTTTGTTTGCAGCCTCTCCCAGATCTTTGAAAGGTGATTAGGTCAGGGAATGGAATCCTTGCGAAGGGAGTTAGTGCCTTTATAACCCTGGAGGGGGTTTTTAGCCTCCCATCTTTCGAGGACACTGGAAAGGCAGCACTTTGGTCCGGAAAGAAAGTACTCTCCAGACAGAAAGCCAGTGGGGCCTGGATCTTGCACTCCCAGCTTTGAAAACTGGGAGAAACTTGTGTTCTTTGTAAGCTACTCAGTCTCCAGTATTATGTCTTAGCAGCTTCAAGGGAGGAAGACCTGTGCTTTTTAATTGAAATACATTTACTTTGAAAGGAGACAATGTATTGCTGAGGCTAGGGGCCAATTGCAGTGGAAACAACCTTTCTGTTGTCTGCCTGAGGTGCTGGGCCCCAGGCCTGTTTTCCCTAAAAGATCTTTAGGTTTAGACAAGTATTAAACACCAAGTATCACCTAGGGAAAACTTTCTCCAGAGAGTGACAAAGATTTAAAGAGAAGGGAAATCTTTGTGGCCTCATCCTGCCAGCTGTCCAGGATACATTGTAGAAGCTGAAGCAGAGTTAACGTGTTCTGGTCTCTTCCCCAGCCCATGCAAGGCTTGCAGGGCCCAGGACTAGACACTGATCATCATTCAAGGACAGAACATTCTCTGGGTTTTTCCAAACGTTTTCTGGCCAGAGTTTTGGCTTATCACCCTGCCTGGGTGTTTATGACTTTTCTGCCTCAGTAGATAAGCCTGGTTCTAGGAAAGCTCATTAAGCTGCAGAGGCAGCCTGACTCATTGGCTCCTGAAGGAGAGAGATGAAAACAGAACCCTGATTAGGGAACTTTCAACCTGGCTTTGAGTGGTAAGGCCTCCTGAAGTATTGCAGGTGTCTGCAAGACTGCTCAGTAGGTACAAAAGGGGTGGACTCACTGGTCCATGTCCTGCAGGACCTCAGACTCTGTACCACCAGGCAGATCCTACGATTCTTAGAATCTGAAATGAGGTCAGTCAGAGGTAAAAGCTAAAGACCCTGTAATAGGGCAGTTATGGCCATTTATTAATGTGTGAAGTCCTTGGCAACAGTCAGGTGTCTGGTAAATTCTTAGTGAGTATGAACTTAAAACCTGGAAGCTGGGTTGGAAGTACATGCCTATGATAGCTCCTGATATGTGTGAGCATGGGTGTGTGTGTGTGTGCGTGTGTGCAAATAAAGACATAAATATAAAAGCAAACACAACAAATGAAAACCAAGGAGGGAAAACAAAGGGTTTGTACACTTGAAATCCTTGGTGCCTTCAGAGGCTGAGGCATCCCTGAAGGATAAGCCACTGCTGCTGTGTGGTCATATCTCAATAAGACATTAGTACGTCTGAGGACAGTGCTGGGGAGGTAGAGGAGGAATGGGCACCCAAGGCTGGGGGTTTAGAGAACATCTCGGGTGCCAGGAGGTGGGGCTGGGGAGCTGCTAACACAGAGCACTACAATCAACTCCCCCATGCCTGTCCCCTCTGCAGCAGACAAGCAGTATTATCTGTGAAGGGACAGGCACAGCCCACAGGCCACTGGGCACAGCTGGGCATCTATCAATCCAAGAGACAATAACCGTCCGAGCTGCAAATAACAGCTACCTCATTCCCAAATTAACCCTGTCTGTCCTGTTGTCTGCGTCACACTCTATGTGGCTGGGCGGTAAGCCCAGGTGAGGCAGGGGCTGCTGGCATCCACTGAGGTCAAGTTTTCTGGGCAGATCATCTCCTATTCCAGCTGTTATCAGTGTTGGCTGGTAATGGCTCCAGCTGCCTCCTCCTCTGGAAACTGTCTTCCATGCATGGAAGGTTGATTTGCTGGGCCTTCCCCTGGCGGTGGGCAGACAGTGAGCAGCCAGCTCAGGAGTGCAAAAAGGCCAGTGGTCTGTGTCAGTCTGGCATGCAGAGTCCCCTGTGAGAGCAGGCTGTCTGTCTAGCAGAGTCTTTTTGATCTCTTGTTGGATGCTGTTTCCCAGCCTTCCCTTTCAATCGAGGGAGATTACTTGAAGAATCCCCACCTCAGGCTCTGCTAGAAAACCCAACCTCGGCAGCTCCATTGAGCCATTGCTCTGCAAGTTTACCTCTTCAAGCCTTCTTCATCTAGTCGCAAAATAGGGAAAGGAGTACACACTCACCTGACGGCATTTGGAGGCGGAAGGGGGAGAAGGCCCCACTTAGGTGTCAGAGGCTGCACCTATTGAGTATCTTAGCAACCCAGCATCTAACAGCCAAGGTCGACGGGGAAAGAGGACCAGCTTACTGAATCACGGCCTTACATGCAATCTGTAGTTCCTTCACTAACCTGCTAAACTCAGAGACCATGCTCTTCTTAAGCTCAGCCAGACCTACCCCTAAAGTCTATAAATTAAGGATTTCATCCGCTCTGTGTGTTACTGTTGGCTCTCATATCCCAGCTGCCCTCACTTCACATGCTGGAGTCACTAAAGGATCTGATCACCTGAAATTGATTGCATCACAATCTGTCTACCACACCTGGAAAGAATCTTTATTGTTTCAAACATTGTCTAGTGGGCTGGGGCTGGGGCTGGGGCTGGGGCTGGGGCTGGGGCTGGGGCTGGGGCTCAGTGGTTATAAGCACTTCCTGATCTTGCAAAAGATCCAACTTCAGTTTTCAACACCCATACTAGGCAGTTCACATCTGGGGCTCCATCTCCAGGGATTCCATGGGCACCAGCACTCACATACATGTACACACATATACAAATTAAAAATAAATCTTAAAAAAACAACACAAACAAACAATGTCTTGGAAGTGGAAACTTGTCTCAGCAGTTAAGAGCACTGGCTACTCTTCTAGAGGCCCCCAGGTTAATTTCTAGCATCCACATGGAGGCTCACAACCATCAGTAATTCGGGTCTCAGGGATGCAATGCCCTCTTCAGGCCTCTGTAGGTACTGTACACAGGTGGTACACACACATCCATGCAAGCAAAATTCCCACATACTTAAAAGTTAAAAGAAAAAGCCCTAGCAACAACAATGTCTAATCATGCTCTCTCCATTACTTGTTCATTCGCTTACCCTTGGGGGAGAGGCTGGCAAAACACTGCGGTCAGACATCTAAAGTCTGATGGTCATAACAATGAGGGAACGAGAGGCGACTGTCCAACTCTTACCTATGGGCACAGAGGAGATCTGAGAATACAGGTCCAACATTCGGTTGCCGTCCACGTCCACTAGGTAGTTGCCTCGGCTCTCCTCATAGTTGCAGAAAAAGTGCACGGCCTCTGCATTCTTGGGAAAGAGGAAACTGATTCAGGCTTGCTACTATTTCCCAGATTCATAGGAATACGCCTGAACTATGGAAACAGACTGCTCTGTATCCTGTTTGTCCTACACCGCATGGAAATCTGTGGGTGCTGACAAGCTTCTGTGTCTTTCTCTGGGAGAAATGACACAGGCAGCTTGCTTTAAATTGATTCATGAAGCCATGGTCTTGTATTTTGTGAAATTTTATGTCTGGCTTGTTTATCACACAGCAAAGGAAGGTTGAAAAGAAACTCAGAAGTGAGTTATGACAAGTTAAAGAATATATGGTAAGCCTCAGAGAAGCCACTGGAAGTGAAGTAAGAAAACTGGAAGTGAGTAGAAATTAAGAAATAAAAACATGAGCTGGAGAGATGGCTCAGTGGTTAAGAACCTGTATTCCTCATGCAGAGGACTTGAGTTTGGTTCCAAGCACCAGTGGGAAATGGCTCACATCTTCCTGCAGGTCCAGCTCTAGGGGGATCTGTCTCCCTCTTGTGGCCTCCATGGGCAACTACACAATGCGCATTCACATACAGACATGCACACATAAATAAAACCATTTGAAAAAGAGGAAAAGGAATCGCCTTGCACCCACTCACCTGGATTGTGTTCAGCTGTTTCATCAGCTCCTGCAGGCAAGAACAAAAGTGTCAGCCACAGGCGGCTCACTTCCTCCCATCAAAGCTCAAATATCTCCCCTGTCTTCCCAGTTCCTGAGGCTGTGCTTTCCACTCTGATGCCAAGAACCTGACAGACTATTAGTCGATATTGTGATATGTAAATATTTTAAAATTACTTAACAAAAATAACTGATAAAATCTGCTCTACAGCACAGTAGGTAGCAATTATAACAGACACATAGAAATTCAGATTTCAATATCTGGAAAAGAAAAGGAAATAGAATTTATTTTATTCTTTTAGAGGTAGAGTCTAATTGTGTAGCTCCAGCTGCACTAGAGCTTGGTAAGTAGGCTAGGTTGTCCTTGAACCTTTCTTTCTTTCTTTCTTTCTTTCTTTCTTTCTTTCTTTCTTTCTTTCTTCCTTTCTTTCTTCCTTTCCTTTTCTGTGATGCTGTGGAGAGAACCTAGGGTCCTGCTCATGCTGGGACAAGTGTTCTACACTGAGCTACACCACTAGTTCAAGCTTTATTTTACATTTCTATTTATTTTGTTTGTGGGTGGGTATATAGCCACCATACTACACACGTTAAGGTTAGAGGACAACTTGCAGGAGTAAACTCTTTCCTTCCACCATATGGGTTCCTGAGAACCAATCTCAGGTCATCAGGCTTCATGGCTGATGCCTATATCAGCCACGTGCTAGCCCATGTTCTCATACACACACATACACACACACACACACACACTATTATAGAATTATATTATTTACATATATATTTATACTTTATTATATTATATTTATACTTTATTTAATGTATGAGTAGTCTGATGCATATACATCCTCAGGCCAGAAGAGGGCATCAGATGCCCTTACAGGTGGCTGCTGAGAATTGAACTCAGGACCTTTGGAAGAGCAGTCGGTGCTCTTAACCACTGAGCCACCTCTCCAGCTCCTGTTCTTATTTTAAAATAGCTCAGTCAGGCTGGAGAGATAACTCAGGAGTTAAGAGCACTGAACCAGGTTCAATTCCCAGAATCCATGTGGCAGCTCATGACTGTCTGTAATTCCAGTTCCACCAGATGTAATCACTGCTTCCAGTCAGCACAGACATGACATGGACGTGGACTTGCATTCACATAAAATTATTATTAATTCAAAGCTCGGTGGCAAAGCATTTGCTAAGTGTGCACAAAGCCCTGCGTTTGAAGTCTGACCTCCAGCACTCGGGGAGAAAAGATATAACTCCTTTATCAGGAGCTGGGGGTAAAATCAACTGACAATATTAATTTTCTCAACAAAGAACCACTTCTGATTAAAATTCATTTTCCCCAGTTTCAAACAGAATCTAGAAATAGAAAGTTGGTTGCTTGATATTAACAAGATTTCAGCCTCCAAATTAATTCCACATAAAGAAGTCTTCAGCAGTTAGTATTTTGACATTACACATTTCCACACAAAAGTATAAAATAATATTAACAACAAAAATTGTTGGGAGCCGACTCCTAGCCGAAAGTGGCTATCATCTTTACAGCCATCTCGAGCCATATACCCTGACAAGAGACTTGTTTTCAACAGCCCGCAACAGCTGAGCACACTCTGATAAACATCTTGTTTTTCTCACATATCTTGTTTTGCTGTTTAGTGCCGCCAGCAGCTAGGTGCACATGGTCTCCGCACTGCTAGCTAGGCGCACGTGGTCTCCACGCTGCAAGGCACATGACGTAGTGCCTTCAGTTGTGCTTGTCCACGAGGACAAGGCACGTGGTAAAGGGTATAAATACCCAGGATTTCCTTCCAATGAACGAGACTTGAGAGACCTAATCAGACTCCCTGTCTTGTCTCCATTCTTCGCATCTCCATCCCCACTTTCTCTCTTGCTAGGCCCTGACCCATGGACTGGAGCAGTAGAACCGGGCCATTACAAAGTGACCCCTGAACGTGAGGCAGCTCGGGCAGCTACAAAGTGGCGCCTCAACGTTGGAGCTCCAGTAAGCGGGGTACAGTGAAGGACACAGCTGGCATTGGAAGCGTGCATCCTCACTCCTGCGCTGGAGACCCTGCTGACTGACCCGAACAGGTTGCTACAAAGTGGCGCTCAACCCGAGGCAGCAAGAACAAGAGACCCAGTGAGGGACATTACCGGAAGAAGGGTCGACTGAAACTTCAGAAGTGAAACAGAGGTGATTGCGGTGAGAACCTGCCGTGTGGAGACCAGTAGGTCATAGTAATAATAATGGGGCAGGAAATAAGTCAGCCTAAACTCAACTTTCAGCCTGATTTCAACTCTGTTTTTGTTTTGTTGTTTGCTGCTTACGTGTGTTAATTGTTTGCTTCTGTTTTGCTGTTTAAATGCTGTCTTTCATGTTCAAAAGAAAAAGAAAAGCATAAAATCGAAAATACGACCAAAGGTTGAAGTAATTGATTTGTCAGAGCCAGATTGTGCAGACCTAGAGGAAGAGGCAGCCAAACATTATGACCCTGAATGGTCCTCTTCCTGTAGGCCCCCGCCCTATGCTCCTCCACCTCCGGATGCTCCCGCTATGGAGATGGTGGTTGTAGATCCCAGAAAGGAGTTGCAGGACAAAATTTCTTAAACAACAAATTTCTCTCCTTAAACAATTAGAGTTAGAAAAAGAGTATCAGGACTTAATTAATCAGTTACAAAAATTAAGGACAGGGAAGATGTCTCGAGAGGGCGAGGCTAATTGTGAAAATCACCCAGGTCCTTGTGTTCCTCAACCCGGAGTCCAAAGGCAGCCCCTGTCCTCTGGTTTTAGTACAGATCAGCCAGAGGAGGGGGAGGCTGAGTTTTTCCCTGTATCAGAGACTAGAGATGGTCAAGGGGTTGCGTGGAGACATCACACAGGGTTTAATTTTCAAATTATTAAAGAATTAAAAAATTCGGTGGCACAATATGGTGCCACTGCTCCCTTTACTCTTGCAATCTTAGAATCTGTTACAGAGGAGTGGCTGACTCCTGGTGATTGGAATACTCTAGTGAGAGCAGTTCTTAGTGGTGGTGACTATCTTATTTGGAAATCAGAATATCATGAGAATTGTAAAGAGACAGCCAGAAGAAATATTCAGGCAGGTAATCATTGGTCCTTTGATGCCTTAGTAGGAGAAGGGCAATTTGCTTCTAGTGATAACCAGATGCAATATGACCCAGGCTTATTTGCTCAAATTCAAAATGTAGCCATGAAGGCTTGGCACAAACTCCCGGTAAAGGGAGACCCTGGTGTATCTTTGACCTCAGTCAGACAAGGGCCTGACGAATGATTTTCTGATTTTGTTCATCGATTAATGACAACAGCAGGAAGGATTTTTGGTAATTCAGAGGCAGGTGTAGATTATGTGAAACAGCTTGCATATAAAAATGCAAATCCTGCCTGCCAAGCGGCCATTAGACCCTATAGGAAAAAGACAGACTTTACTGGGTATATCAGACTCTGTTCTGACATAGGGCCCTCCAACCAACAGGACTTAGCTATGGCAGCTGCCATGCAAGGACAATCAGTAAGAGATTTTTTGGCAAGCAGAGACAAAAAGGCCTGTTTTAAATGTGGCAAGCCTGGACACTTTGCAAAAGATTGCAAGGCAGAAAATGAGTTAACACAGAGACAGCCTAGAAAACAGCCTGGCCTATGCCCACATTGCAAACATGGAAGGCATTGGGCTAGTGAATGTAGGTCCAAGACAGATGCACAAGGAAACACCCTTTCCCATAATCAGGGAAATGGGAACAGGGGCCAGCCCCAGGCCCCGAACCAACAGAAGCCAAAGCAGTCTTATGGGGCAGTCAGTTTCATACCAGCAAACAACAACCCCTTTCAGAACTTAGTCGAGCAACACCAGGAAGCGCAGGACTAGACCTCAGTTCTGCCACCCACACAGTATTAACCCCAGAAATGGGACCTTACCCACTGGATTGTTTGGACCACTCTATCCAAATGTGTTTGACCTGAAAGTGGGAAGAAGCAGTGCTACTATGCAGGGACTACAATTTTTTCTTGGAGTTATAGACAATGATTATCAAGGTGAGATTAAGGTAATGGCCAAGGCAATACAGAATACAGTCACCATTCCTACAGGAAGGAGGATAGCTCAACTATTGTTACTTCCATTGATCCCTACTAATCACAAATATAAGAGTCCTAAGAGAGAGGATCAAGGCTTTGGTTCCTCTGATGCATACTTTGGTTCCTCTGATTCTCAAATGACAGATGCCACATGCTGGCTGTCAGAGAGACTGATTAAACAAATAGACAACAATAAAAAATCCAGGGAGGAGAAATCCCTTAGAAAGCATATTTTTTCTTTGCAGGAAACATGAAGATGCTTCACTGGAGCGAATCAACCAGCATACCTGACTTGGAAAGTTCTCAGTGCAGAAGAAGACATCACCACCCGCACCTCCAGAGTGGCTCTATTAGACTCTTGGTTCCCTGATTTATAATTTAGTGGGGTACATTGTTTAGACCCAAGAGAGAACCCATTACCATAGTTACTATAGTTGTTTTTTTGTGTTTGAGATTGATTGGGGCAGGGACAGGGATTTCCTTACTTGTTTTGTTAAGATCAAAGTTATGATCAGTTCTGTACTTTTATAGATTTAGTTTTAGAAAATAGTGTTACAGAATAGAAGAGGCTTATACTTTTTACTCCTCCAAAAGAGGGAGTTGTGCACTACCCTTAAAAAAGAGTGTTGCTGTGAGGCAGAATGGTTTACACCAACCATTCAGACAGCATTAAGTCTCTTGTCATTTGGGTTCATGCTGTTCAACAGACTGATGGCTTTTGTACGACAACAGATAGATGCTATTCAAATGAAACCCATACAGGTCCATTATTATGGGCTGGAAGTAGGGGACTCTAAAACCTCTGTCATCAAGACTGATGAGGATTAACCCCTAACTTATGCACTAAGCCGGATAGTCAATGACGGGTAAGAGAACACCTCAAGACCCTTGCCCCTAACTGGGAGGCCTCACCATCCTAAGACAGGAGCTCAACCAATGGCTGTTGAGTATCCAGAGACGGGAAAGAGAGGCTGGGGTCCTTTGTTCCAACCTAAGACAGACACGATTTCTGTAAGTTTTCCCAGCCTTCCCTTTTGAAAACAAATTTAAAAAGGGGGACCTGTTGGGAGTTGACTCCTAGCCCAAAAGCGGCTATCATCTTTACAACCATCTCGAGCCATATACCCTGACAAGAGACTTGTTTTCAACAGCCCAAAACAGCTGAGCACACTCTGATAAATATCTTGTTTTTCTCACATATCTTGTTTTGCTGTTTAGTGCTGCCAGCTGCAAGGTGCACATGGTCTCCTCACTGCTAGCTAGGCACACGTGATATCCACGCTGCAAGGCACATGACGTAGTGCCTTCAGCTGTGCTTGTCCACGAGGGCAAGGCACGTGGTAAAGGGTATAAATACCCAGGTTTTCCTTTCAATAAACGAGACTTGATCAGACTTGATCAGACTTGATCAGACTTGATCAGACTTGATCAGACTTGATCAGACTCCCTGTCTTGTCTCCATTCTTTGCATCTCTGTCCCCACTCTCTCTCTTGCTAGGCCCTGACCCACAGACTGGAGCAGCAGAACGGGCCGTTACAAAGTGGCCCCCGAACGTGAGGCAGCTCGGGCGGCTACAAAAAATATGATAAATTATTCTAGGCGTTTCTCCATTAAAAATCCACCCCAACAGAAATATGCATGAAAAAACACTCCTTCTGCTTGACAAAAACCATCTAAAAGAAATATAAATGCTTACAATTAGACAAACATTTCTGAACTCATAAAAACAGATGCTGTGTGTGTGGGGTGTGGAGATAAACATGGTGGAGGAGGAAGTGGGCCAGAGAGCAAGGTACCACAGGCTCCTCCCACTCCTGGAAGGGCCCGGATCCACTGTACACAGTGTGTGCTCTGACATAGCTCCTGGCACACCACTGGTAAGACAACACAAAGGACCCAAGGCAGCGGCTGCTTCCCCTGTCTTCACAGAAACCTCCCTGGAGGATCTGACTCACCCCTACAGGTGAGTTGATTTGGCTAAACAACACAGATTGTAACCTATTTGCCCTTGAATACATAAACATACCCTAATTGGCTAAAAAGCTATATACAATCTTGTGTAATAAATAATAAAGTTAGATCTCCACTCGAATGTTGGTCTCTGGAGCCTGAGTCCCGGGCATCTTCTCTACTCTCCCTCACTTACAGGTCCCTGTTCCCACAGCTATGGCAAAAGGCATGATCTTTTTACAGACAGCATCCCACTGTGAATAAAATGTGTTAAATCTTAAAAAAATCTGAAGCATTGGAAGGTTTATTTATTTATTTTTTAAAGATTTATTTATTTATTATATATGAATACACTGTAGCTGTCTTCAGACACACCAGAAGAGGGCATCAGATCTCATTACAGATGGTTGTGAGCCACCATGTGGTTGCTGGGATTTGAACTCAGGACCTCTGGAATAGCAGTCAGTGCTCTTAACCACTGAGCCATCTCTCCAGCCCCATTGGAAGGTTTATACCATGTCTCTTGCCTAGAAGACAGCTTCTCTTATTTGTCTTATGGTAACAGCCTCTCAGGTGTCCCAGGCTGGCCTTGAACTCCTTACATAGCAGAGGATGACCCTGAATTCCTGGTTTGTCTGTTTCCAACTTCCTAGTGCTGGGATTACAGGTGTGATCCACTAAGTCCAGCTTAAACAGCTTCATGCAGGGCTTGGTCAAGCCAAGCTTGAAGATCACATCTTATTATTGGTTTTTTATGAATTCATCATGGAGCCCTTGCTTTCACTGTCTCTCTCTCTCACTTACTCCCTGCCCCCACATCCTCCACTTGCTTCTGGCTCCTTTCTCTCCTTCCCCAAGTTAGTCCCCATTCCACCCTGGCATCACTTGTACTGACTGCCTTCTTTATGCTACATTTCTCTTTGTCCTTCAAAATCAAAGTCATAGGTCTTTGTTGCCCAGGCCCTATGCTGTGACTTCCAGTGTTGCTTGTGAGTTCAGCTCCAGCCCTTAACTCTGTGCTGCTGACAGCCATGCAACTAGCTTTGGCCAATAGAAAAGATGGGAGCATTTGAAAGCCAGTGTAGAGTTTCAGTCTCAATAGACTTAGAGCAATATCAGAATAAGCCCAGTGTGACAAGCTGGAGGATCAGAGACCCATGGAGCAGAGACAGGCCACTTCAGGCATAAACTACATCAGGTGACAGCCAGCTAGCCCTTAGACCTGCAGATGGCTCCAACAAGGCTACTGACCTAACTTCTGGTCAGCCCTAAATGCATGAGCAATATGAATGGCACATGCCCCAGTCTATAACTAGCCATTAGGCAATATCCTCATGACAGCAGACATGAGACATTTTTGAAGCCTTCACGATGGCCGGGTTTGTTTCACATATGTCTTTAGTAGATGCTCTGAAAGTGCCCCTAAGGAGCCTGTGTGCCTGCCTCCTGGGACTTTGTTTCTGGGAGGTTGACTCACCTTAGATCTAGGTCCTGGGACTTCTGTCTTCATGAGTGGTCCATCATAATCAAACTCAATGTCAACTTTGGCAGCGGCTTGGCTGATATATCTGAATCCTGTAATACAGAAGACAGATGGGACCCTTGTTGACAAGATGCAAGGAGGAGCAGCCCCCAACAGGTGCCCTCAGTCCTTAACAGGTGGTCCCAGACCTCAGCTTTGTTCTGACAAGGTCACCTTACTCCACTTCATCTGAACAAGTCTAGACACTTAGACACTGAGAACAACAAAGATTCCAAAATGGAAAAACCAGGGCCAATGATGTTGGAGGAAAGCAGGCATGCTCCTATTGTAAGGCAGAAGGATGAGCCGAGGTAAGTGTGTGTGTGTGTGTGTGTGTGGGAGAGAGAGGACAACTTTTGGGGGTTGGTTCTTTCCTTCCACTGTGGGTTCAGGAATTGAACTTGGGATTTTACTCTTGAATGGCAAGTGCTTTCACCTGCTGAGCTATCCTACCAGTCCAACAACTTCTTTCTAGGAGTTGGAGAGATGGCTCAGCTGCTAAGAGTGCTTGTTGTTCTTACAGAGGACCGAGTTTGGCTCCTGGCACCTACCCACATTAGGCAGAATACAACAGTCTGTAATCTCTCTCTCTCTCTCTCTCTCTCTCTCTCTCTCTCTCTCTCTCTCTCTCTCACACACACACACACACACACACACACACACACACACACACACTCACACATACACACCTTAGAAAAGAAATTCAAAGGCTGGAGAGACAGCTCAGTGGTTAAGGCCAAAGGCTGCTCTTCCAGAGGTTTTGAGTCAGATCTCTCACATCCACACGGTGCCTCAGAACGCTCTATAATAGGGATCTGATACCCTTTTCTGTTGTGCAGCCACACATGCAGACAAAGCACCCATATACAAAAAATACATAAAGACAAAACAAAGCCAGTCCAAATAAATTCAGATGGATAGCCGGGTGGTGGCGGCGCACGCCTTTAATCCCAGCACTTGGCAGGCAGAGGCAGGCAGATTTCTGAGTTCGAGGCCAGCCTGGTCTACAGAGTGAGTTCCAGGATAGCCAGGACTATAAAGAGAAACCCTGTCTCGGAAAAACCAAAAAAAAAAAAAAATCAGATGGATATATAGAGAGTGGAATCTCTCCATTTTGGCACTGCTGACATGTTGGCTGGTGATCCTTTGATGCTCAAACACTGCAGGACACTCAGGGCCATCCTTACATCTGACCACAAGATACAATGTGCACCTATTCCTGGGGAAGCTCCAAGAGGGGAGCTGGGTGCAACATCATGCATCTAGTTACAGACAATAGGGAAGCTGAGGCAGGAGAGCCCTTGAGCCCCAGGAATTTAAGGCCACTTTGTGAATTATCATGAGGCCCTGTCTATATTGGTTACTATTTTCATTGCTGTAATGAAATTTCTGGAAAAGGCAACTCAAGGAAGAATGAGTTTCTTTTGGCTCACAGGAGGAGGGGTTACAGTCATCATGGTGGGAGAGGCTGGGGCAGGATTGTGGGGTCACACTGCTCACAGCCAGGAAGAGATGAATGCTGCTCCCCAACTGGATTTCTCCTTTTCCTTCAGTCTGGGATCTCAGTGCGTGGAAAGGCCCACCCACAGGGAAAGTGGGTCTTTTGGAAGACCTACCTCAGCTTAATCTTGAAACTCCCTCACAGGCATGTCTAGGGTTTGTCTCCTATGTAATTCTAGATCCTGTCAAGTCGGCAGTCAATATTAACCACCATGGGGCCTCGGGAGAGGGCTCAGATGTTTAAGTACTTGCCACGCAAGCATGAGGATCTTAGTTCCATCCTTAGCTCCCACATTAAAAACAAAACAAATGGGCAAGGTGGCTAATTCCAGTGTCATGGAGGTAGGAGCATAAGGATCCCCAGGGTGTGGTGGCCAGCCAGTCTAGCTGATAGGTGAGTTCCAGGTCCACTGAGAGACCCTGACTCAAAAATTAAACAGGACAGGAACTGAGGAGGGTGTCTGACCTCTGATCTCCACTTGCATATATAACAACATATATACATACCTATACACATGCCCCCATATGTGACACACTATCATACTATTTCAAGAAGGAAGAGCAAGGGAGGGAGGAAAAGAATCCTCTAGGAGAAAGTAAATTTACAGATTAAAGTGGTCCTCATTTAACAGATCCGTTTGCTGTTGCTGAAAAGTTCTGGCCTCAAGTCATTGGTTTGAATCCCATTTGGCATTTTGCAGAGTAATAAATTTACTGAAGAGCTAAGTTTCCAGACTAGTCCCACAGTCACTCCTGTTCAGCGCGTGGTCAGCCACACAAAGATGGCCTGGAGCCCAAGCCTGCCTCATTCCAGAGGAAAGGACAGCTGTAAGCATGCCAGGGTCGACAGGGACTCCTAGCAGTCCACTTGCTGTTGCTGCTCATCCTAACCTTCCTGGCAGGCTCAAAGCTAATTAGCATCTGTCGCTGAGTTCCCATGCTGTTGTAACTATATGAAAGCAGAGGCTCATGGGACATATGGGTGGTTGCACTATCCTTATATAGATGGATGTGTGCATTTACTACCCATCTATTATCTATCTGCTGCTATCTACTTCCTATCATCTATCACTTTATCTTCTATCATCTATCAGTCATCTCCTCACTTCTCTATCATTTACTGATCTATCTGCCTGTCTGTTTATTATCTATCATCTATGTTCTATCTATATTCTATCTATAGCCTATCATCTACCAAACTTCTAGGGTCTGGAAAGATGACTCAGTAGTTGCTCTCAGTAGTTTGCCTACTCTTGATTCCCTATAGTCCCAGATCCATGGAATGAATATATATATATATATATATATATATATATATATATATATATATATATTTGCTTCTGAGGACACCTGCACACACAGGCACACACATACACAGATACATATGCATATAAATAAAAATATATCTTTTAGAAAAATCAATCTATTAGTCATCTATCTACCTACTGTCCACCTTCTATCTGCCTTACCGTCTCCATCTCACAGGACTAGAGCTCAGAGATACTGAACTAATATGTTAGCAGTTGAGGCGTGTACAAATATCTGGGTTCAATTCCCAGCACTGTAAACACATGCACACAAACACACACACACACACAGATGCATAGGCATGCATGCACATACACAGATATGAACACACACATATGCGTGTGCATGTAACACATGCACGCACACATGCATGTACATGCACATGCATACATGCACATACAGGCATGCATGCACACACACACACACACATGCATACACATACACATGCACACTTGAATGTGCCAAAATCTCATGACACATATTGGTGCATAAATGTACATAGTTTGTCAATCATTCTATGTAAAATTATGATACTAGAAAACACATCTAGATGTATTCTTGACTCTTAGTTGCTTATCAAAAGCTTCTCAAGCAAGGACATACTGTGAGGCAGAGTTTTAAACGCCGTATTTGACACAGCTGGCATATACCACTCCTGCTAAAGCACGAAGAAAATATTTTCTCTTTTCTTTTGACCCTGAAAAGGATGTTTCTAGAGTTCATTTCATTGGAAGAGTTAAATGTTACAGCATTCATCTAGTGGTGATGGCGCACGCCTTTACTCCCAGTACTCAGGAGGCAGAGGCAGGCAGATCTCTGAGTTTGAGGCCAGCTTGGTCTACAGAGTAAGTTTCAGGATAGCTGGGGATATGCAGAGAAACCCTGTCTCAGAAAAACAAAACAAAACAAAACAAAAAACAACAACAAAAATTATAGCGCTCAGTGATGACCTTTAAATTTGATCGGCTCATTTTATTTTTATGAGAGTGTTTTGCATGTAGGCATATCTGCACCATGTGTGTACCGGTGCCTGAGCAGGAGGGGGCGCTCTCAGGAGAGAGCATCCGATCCACTGGAACTGGAGTTACAGGTAGTTGTGAGCCTCCGCGTGGGTTCTGGGAATTGAACCCTGGTCCTCTGTAAGAATAAGTGTTCTGGACCAGTGAGCCATCTCGCAGACCCCCACTGATGAGTTTCTGATGCTAACCTATTCACTCCTTCCCTGGCCAGACTCAGGGTAACAACATCGATTCCAATGAGATCCATGTAGAATAGAAATGTAAATTCTGATAAAAAGGGCTTTCCACCAAGTCAGCCTTGTTCGATTTCCAGCCAAGGAGCAAACTGAAAAATGAGAAGTTTGCTAGCTTTTCCCCAGTGAGGACATAAAAGGCTTTATTTTCTACAGGAAAAAAGAATTAAAAAAAAATTACATTCAGCAGCCGGGCACAGGGTGAATGCTATGCTTACATTATTGAGGACAGAAGGTCAGAGAGGTTAGTGAATTCACCTAAGCTCACACAGCTATTAACCTGAAAACCTAACTTTCTGACTCTTCCCTGGCCTATGGAAACCCTGCTGCCACATCTGATGCCTCAGCAAGAGCAGCACTTCTCCCAGACTCGGATTCTTATCGGAATCACAGAGAATAATAAAGGTCTGTAGAAAGCAGGCGTGTGTCATGGGTTCACAAGACTGGACACAGTGGATGAAGAAGGTTCACTAGCTCAGCCTCTGTGGCTGACGGCACTCATCCCTGAAAGGGGCTGGTCTGGTGCTGCCTGCATTCAACGCTAAATTCTGTACCCCAAGATCTGGTAGCTCCAAGGCAAGCAAAAGCAGCAAATGCTTTTACTGGCTGAGCCAACTCTCTTGTCTTAAAAAATTAAAATATCGCTGGGCGGTGGTGGCGCACGCCTTTAATCCCAGCACTTGGGAGGCAGAGGCAGGCGGATTTCTGAGTTCGAGAGTTCGAGGCTAGCCTGGTCTACAGAGTGAGTTCCAGGACAGCCAGGGCTACACAGAGAAACCCTGTCTCGAAAAACAACAACAACAAAAAATTAAATTATCATACCCAGAAAACAATTGTTCTTTATGTAAACCTGAACAATGTGGAGGTAAAGAGCCCTGCCTGCCTCTCACTCAGTCAGTCAGTGTGTATATGTGTGTAAAATGCATGTCCACCTCTCCCCCGACCCCCTCAGTTTTGGAGACAGGGTCTCTCAGTGAACCTAGAACTCAATGATTTGGGTGAGAAACCACAGGGACCCTCCTGCCTCTTTTAACAGTGCTGGGATTGCAGGCATGTGCCTTCACAGCCAGCTTTTACACAGCCAGCTTTTACAAAGTAGCTGCTGATTCTCATACTTGTGTGACAAGTCCTTTTTATTAAGACCAGAGAGTTGACTCAGCTGGTAAAAAACCCTGAGCCATCTCCCCAGGCCCTTTTAGTCTGTTTTTGAGACAAGATCTTACGACATTGGCCTAGAACTCCCTATGTAGCACTCCAGACTGGCCTTAAAGGAGCCTTCTGCCTCAGCATCCTGGTGCTGGGATTACGGAGCTAATAGGTTAAAATAAATAAGTAAAATTAATGACTCGGTGACAAATTCCTGACTTGCTGCAGGTCAGCACGGCTGGACAGCCCCATGCTGTGCGTGATTAGATGGAGCAGGTCAGAGTTCACAGCTGGAGCTCAGTGCCTAAACACTCAAGTCAGACAGTTACCAGCTGGAGGCTGTGTGTACCCCTCCTGGCACTGTTCCCTTCACTTCTCTTTTTCCTGTTCCATCTTCCTTTCCTCCCTCCCTCCCTTCTTTCTATTTAGACAAGGTTTATTACATAGACAAGGCTGTCCTTGAACTCTTGACTCTCCTTCCTTAACCTTGGATGCCGAAACTATATATGGCCACTGGCATCATTCATGCTTTTAACTTCAGCTTTCTTTCTTTCTTTCTTTCTTTCTTTCTTTCTTTCTTTCTTTCTTCCTTCCTTCCTTCCTTTCTTCCTTTCTTCCTTTCTTCCTCTCTCTCTCTCTCTCTCTCTCTCTCTCTCTCTCTCTCTCTCTCTCAATCTCTCTCTCTTTCTTTTCATGTTTCATGCACCCAAGGTAGCCTTGGACTTGCAATATAGCTGACAATGACCTTGAATTCCTGATTCTTCTGAACTACTGAGTTTTGGGATTAAGGGTAGTTATCACCTCACCCATTTGTGTAATTGTATGTATGTGTAACTGTTCAAATGTGTGTGTTGGGCACTAGAAGCTGACAGTAGGTATCTTCTTCAGTTCTCCTACTGAGGCAGGGTCTCTTGATGAACCCTGGACTGATTAGTCTACCTAGTTACCCTGCCTTGGGGAGCTCCTCTCTCTAAATCCCAAAGGCTGGGCACATAAGCAGGCTGCCACGCCCACCTCCTTTTGTGTTGAGATAGGAATTCCAGTTCTCACATTAAATTCCTTATCTGTTGAGCCACCTCCTCAGCCTGGCTACCCCAGTTTATACAGCGCCGGGGATTAAATCTTGTGTGTGCTAGGAACACTCTCTGCCCCTGAGGTACACACACCCTCAGCCTGCCTCTGTGGGTTTCTGTACTCCTTGGCACTAACCACAGCACTGTGTGTTTCTTTCTGGGTCCTTCTGGCTTAGAGGCCACCCCTCCTAAGCAGAGTGGCTCTCAGCTGCATTGACTCCCTTCCTACATGAGAAGTGTCCATCTGTGGACGGGTGGGTAGCCATGGTGATAGTCTCACTGAAGAAGCTAGGGAAGAACCAGGCAGATCCTTCTGTCCTCAAGGACTCTGACCACAGACCCCTCGTTTGCACTATCTCTTAAGGAGCAGGTTATGTCAGGACCTTGGCTGGGCTTACCAGTGAAGAAGTGGAGGTTTTTCTGGAGACTGCAGGGCAGCCGTCGGGTAATCAACAAGAAGGCCATGACCCCCTCCTTCAGGAAGAGGAACCCCCTTCACTTGTTGTCCTGAAAGAGACCAAAACCACAGACTTAGACCCATGGGACCACACCTCTGCATCCTAAACCCACCATTGCCCACTTTGTGGAAAAGACTCTTAGGATACAAATTCCCTTACTGTACTCGGAATACTGTCTTTACTCAAGCACATTTTATGCCAAATATACACTTTAATTTACATTCCTTTTCTTTCCATATTCCACACTCCAGACAGGCCGAGTTAGGGATAATGGCTCCCATGTAGGCTCTGCCACAGGGCACCACCACTGGGGAGGCAGGACACAGGAAGTTCTGATTGTGCTTATGCAGGTGTTGGGGCATAGGGCAGTCCTGAAAGCACCATTCTGGGGGTGGGGAAACACAGTCTGAGGTCCTGGGGACAGCCAGAGCTGGCTCGGGGGTCCCTGGGCCTGCAGGTAGGCTGGGGCCGTCTGGTTCTCAGGTTGCTGGGCACCCAGGCACCCCTGGGAGCCATGGGAGAGCTGAGAACAGAGTGGGGGCCCATGGGCTGGATCTGGCCCTGGCCGAGGGGGAAAAGAGGGGAGCTCCAGCTGGATCCTGCAGGAAGAGTTCTTAGCTTTGTCAGCAGGTAGCTTGGCTTGGGTTTGGCTTGGGCTTGATTGGGTCATGGCTGGGAGCTCAGAGAGGCCTTCTACGGGAGATTAGATGGTGGCAGTGGCTCTATAAGCAAAGGCCTTCTTCATGGCTTGCCACAGCAAATCCTGAGGAAAAGAGGCAGGCCATGGTTTTAAGGCTTTTATTGTCATGGCAGAAAGTGGAGGAGTAAAACCGTACCCCACTTCTCAGGGAGGCCTTGAGGTTAAATACCTTTTGCAGGGAAGAGTGTCTGGGAAGGAAAGCTTATTGGCTATGCCCTCCAGGCCTTTAGGTACCTCATCAAAATGGAGATCTGTCTTAAGGTCCACAGGTCACATCCTCTATCTGTGGAGGGGCTTGGGGTTCTGCTCCTATGTGACTGATGGCCACAGATCTATGGAGGGCTGTGGGGAGCTGTAGCTATGTGACAGGAGCTGGGTCACCAGGGTCTAGCCTTTGCTCAACCAGGAACCAGGCTACTTTTCATAGTCCTACAGATGAGCATACCTACTTTCTAGACAGAAAAACAGAGCCCCAGAGAAATGATTCAACTGCTAAAGAACCATGAAGACCTGAGTTTGATCCCTAGAGACCTTGAGAAAAAGCTGGGTGTAGTGCCACATCTAAGTCCCTCCTCCTGTAAAGGAAGAGATGGTGTTGCATTCACCTATGTCCCCTTATGCAAAAGGAAACATGAAGAGTAAGAGGAAGGGGTTCCTACCTGAGCAATACCTTTGTAAGCAAGTGTAGAAGTTTCTTTGCAGCTTAACCACCTTTGCTTTGCTTGCCAGCTCGAGCTGGAATAGTTTCTGCTATTGTGGACAGAAAGTTCTTGAGGGACACCGCACAGTAGCAGATTCTGTACAACCTTATCTTTCGTCTCTGGGAGAATCCACCCCAGAGCTAGCTGCCCTGCGATTTGGAAATCTTAACTCTTCCTGGGCAGAAAGGCTGTCATGTGAGTGTTAGTTGAAATGCTTCAAAGAGTACACTGTCTGGCTCCAGATATCTGCTCCATTGTCCAACAAACAGGGCTCACCTCACTTTAGATCTGAGGAGGGGTTCTTTCAGGAGTGGCTGCCTGATCCCCAAATCTTTCTTTACTTGTAAGAGACTAATTTATTCAGTTAGCCTAGCCACAGTAGATAGAAGGCTTGGATAATAATAATTAATAATAATAAAAAGCTATGTAGTTCAAGGCATGACAGGTAACGACTTTAACCAAGTGCTTAGGAGGAAGAAGTGGGCAGACCACAAGTTGGTTATGTCTTACTGTCCACAGTGAATTCCAGGCTAGCTGGAGGCTGCACAGGGAGAGCCAGACTCAAAAAGCAGTTCAGAGACTCCAGAATATTTCTCTTCATAAGAGGAAAAGTTAGGAGAGGTCAGCAGGCATTAAAACTGTGACCATAAATTAATGCAGAAACCATATTCTTCTCTTGGCAATTTAATGAGTTTTTAAAAAGATGATTCTAATATCCAACTCAAGGCAGGCCTGTTAATTCAGCAGTAGAGTAACTATGTAGAAAAAGTAGCCACCGCCTCTCATTTAAGGCCATTTGTCTCAGAGCGCTGAGATGTCATCATGTAATTCAAGTTTCTTCTATCAAATATGTTTTCTGAGTATCTTGAAGGATGTGAGCCTTAATGTCTGAATAGCCCATAAAACTGAGTCATACCTATGCATGTTCAATGACAAGTCACTCTGGAAAACATGCCCTAGTGACATGTGACATTGAGTGCCCTGTGACTGACACTCACCTTTTAACAAAACAATCTCTGTCAGCCACTCATTCTCAATGGTATTTTTCAAATAATCAGAAGCGTCCATGTTCATTCACTGCCTTCCCCACTAATTCAATCAACCAAAGTTAATTAGGCAGCGGTTACAGGCAAGGCACTGAATAACTTAGGAGGAAGAAAAAACGGGTAAAACACGTTCATAATTCTTTGGCGGAGGACTATGACCAGAGGAGGGTGGGAGAATCCAATGTACTAGGTGCCTTGTTCACCCTGTCATTAACTTCTTAAAATAACCTGGCAAGGTACTCATATAAAGTCTCCACTTCACTGTCAACAATGAACTTTACAGAACACAAAGCAGAAGACCTGGCATGGTACTGCACCTGTAACCTCAGCATTTGGAGGCTGATGCAGGAGGATGTGAGTTTGAGGCCACTCCAGGCTACATAACAAGGTCAAGGTCAGCCAGTGATACACTGAAAGGCCTTGCAACCCAACAACTCCAGAATAGAATCATGACTGATTGCCTGGTATGTACAAGGTGCTACGGGAAGACGGGGCGCTTCCTTCCCAACTAGGCCAGGGGGGTGTCACCTGAGCCACAAAGTGAAATAGATTAGATTCCAAATGCTAGAGAAGGGCAGTTGATACAGAGTGGCAGAGAGACATCGCCAGCAAACGAAGGTACCTAGCCACGCTGTCTGAGGGAGTTTCTGAGGGGAGCAGGACGTGCATCTGCTTGGCACCAGGGTTACCACTGAGCAGACAGCAGGCTTGCTGCAGGACATTGACATAGGAGGGAGGGTAGAGCAGGCCAGAGGCTAACTCCATAATCCTCAGCCTTGATGTTGCTGTGGCTGCTCGGAGACTGGGTTCTGCATTTGTATGACAGTGCACATCTGTAATTCCAGAACTGGACAGAGCCTGTGTGTGACGCTTTAAATGAGAATATTCCCCATAGGCTCATGTCTTTGAACACCCAGTTTCCAGTTGGTGGTTCTGTTTGGGGAGGTTTAGGAGGTGTGGGTCTGTGGGAGAAGTACATCACTAGAGGCAGGTTTTGACAAGTCAGACATCCACACCATTTCAGTGTCTCTCTTTCACGCTGTGCTTCTAGATCTGGGCTCTCCGTTTGCTGCTCCAGCCACTGTGCCTGCCTGCTGCCAAGCCTGAGATAAGAGCCTGTGATGGTGATGGACCCTTACCCCTCCGGAATTGTAGGTACAAATAAAACCTTCCTCTGCAAACTGCCTTGGTCACGGTGCTTTATCATAACAATAGAAGACTGACTAAGGCACTGGGGCAGGGTTATGGAGTTTGGGGCTAGCAAGAGCTACTTGGTTCTTTAAAAAAAAAAAATTACGCCTCCCTCCACCGTGTATAGCACGTGCATACAGAAATGTAGAGTTCAGAGGTCAAACTCTAGGAGTCAGTTCTCCCACCCATTATCTGGGTCTCGGCCACAGAGTTTAGATTCTTACGTTTTGGTCCAAGAGCCTTTACTGGCTGAGCCATCTTGTAGACCCAGAATTACAGGTTCCATGAATTCCAAAGTTATGCTTTATGTTTTCAAGCCTAAGAGCACCATAAAGCAAAAATGCCTCTAACCTCAAACCCCTTTCCCGGGGACAGATACTTCCTGAAATGCTGTTTAGGGGAGACAACAAGCTGTATGTTTTCACTCCCCTGAACAAGTTTCTCTGACCCAACTGCACAGGGTGTGCTTGATCCTGTGTAGGCAGGAAGCATGGCAGGAGGTACATTAGGATGTACACCAGCCCAGATGGACCTGGTGGGAAATACTCAGTCTTATGGGTTTATCTTTATAAGCCTCTGGGAAATGTGGCTTGTCATCATTTTCTGGGAACTCCAGAATGGACCTGGCCAGAGTTCATCGTCCTGGCCAGTATTTAATTAAGGCTTGCTTCAGATTTGGCTCAAAAATTGTGATAGTGATCTTATTCTCCACTGGTGGGATTAACAGTTCCTAAACAGGGTACAGTGCTACTCTCCTGTATAAACAACAAGAGTCTATGAGGTCCTCAAGAAATTATACAGTATCGCCATTTAACAGATTCCACTCAGACACTATGTAACAAGAAAACTGAAAACAGGACTTAAACACACCATTCTCTCACTGCACCATTGTTCAAAATAGCCAAGTGTCCATCAATGGATGGATAAACACAGGAAGGAACAAAGGACAGACACCGGCTATGTCTCAGACAAAGCCCTGTGCTAGATGTTCCATTGGTATGACACTTGAAGAACAGGAAAATCCAGAGTTGTCAAGGTAGATCCGTTGGTAGAGTGCTTGCCTAGCATGCTCAAAGCCTTGGATTCTATCTCCAGTGCTGCATAAACTAGGCATTGTGGCACTGGCTATCCTGGCACTGTGGCACTGAGGTGAACGTAGAAAGGAGTAGCTAAGTATATTCTTAGATATATACTGAGTTCTAGGACAGCCTGTTCTATATGAGGTCTTGTCTCAGAACAATGCACCCACCAAGGCCCGTCTACTCCCCACTCCCCTCCCTGCCTTCCCCAAGCGACTAAGCAAAATGAGAGACCGCTTCTCCCTCCTGAGTACTGGGGTTGCAGGCATGCACCATGCCTGGTCTTGTACTGTAATTCCAACCCTAGGCTCCAGGCACTTGACCCACTGGGC